TGGGACTGTTACATGTTCTGAAACCAGCCCATTCCCAGGGTTGGATCTGGAGTGTTTTTGATATAAAGATAAATAAAAAGATTTCATGTTTTTGGTGCTCAGCTGCATGTGTTGGCCTGTAGTGCTGAGTGTGAAGTGACTGAAGTTTTTCCAGCGCATACATTTGTTAACAGTTAATAAAGCACAGCGGATTTAATCTTTTGTGTTTGATGCAGTTGGATAAAGTAGATCTGACAGATCTTTTCTCTTGCAGGACGTTCTTTTGATCTCATCTACAACCTGCCAAGAAAACCAGACTAATTGAGAAGCTTATAATTTTTGATTCTTCCACGATTCACCGATCACAACACGACACATCAACTTGCCTAACATGGTCTTTTTGTCTTTACTTGGTTTTTCTTTCTAAAATTGAGCCATGCTGTGTATATGAGCTGTCACTGTCTTGGCTTGGTAACGGATGGTCCAGTCAATATGCAGTTGTCACCACCAATCTTCATCGCTTCTTCTAATTTAGACACACCTGAGCTTTCCTTTCATCTGTCAGTATAAGAAAGGGAAAAAAGACAATTTGTAATCAATAGCTCCTCTGAAGGACATGAAATGAGGTTGTGTTGTGTGTGCTGATTTTTCTGCTTCATGTTTTCCTTTTTAAACACTGTTTCTAAGTTAGTGATGCAAAAAAAATACATGTAAAAATAAAAAATAATTATGTGAGTGCGTGTCAATGGCTTTTCATTATACACCGTATGTTTTTATGATTTATTTTAAGCTTAATTGATCCACATTCTTCCTTGATTATCCCAGGTAGAGTAGGTGTTCCAGCTGTTATGGAGGGGGGGCTATTGAAGTGTAGCATATAGAATAGAGACTTGCAGCCAATCAACAGATAACCCAACATGTATGACTTTAGGCTGTGGGGGGGAAGGTATGGATGATGGCTCAGAGGGCGCATGGAGGTACCATAAACCCTGCCAGTTGGTGGATTTTAGTCCAGGACCTTCTTGATGTGATTTTGTACATAACTGAAGCTGACTGTGAAACTGCTTAAACTATACCAGGTTCCACTTTTGTTGGTTTCAAAAGTGGATCATGAGGTCAACTGCTTGATTATTCACTCGTGTTTTTGCAAGTTATACTGAGGGCTGCGACCGAATGTCCACAGGGGGCGACAAAGCTCCTTCGTGAATACTGATTGAATGGAATCGTGTGCTTTAGATAATCCTCCGTGTCATCAAATGGGCCAGCATTAGATTTGTAATCGGTGTGTTAAAGTTAAAGATGGCAAACACAAAAAAATAAAGAGAATGCACCGCGTGGGTTTCGTGTAATATTACGCGTGTGATGCTTTGCTGGGCAGCATTCCGCTTCCCTCTTTTCTAAGCTCTGTGCGGTCATCTACTCCCGCCTCATTGTTCATACGTGACATCTGTCTGCTGCCGGTTGGCCGCTGTGCTGCGTGTAGCTGCCGATGTTCTGCCTCTACGGTTCATGATACAGTCCAAAGGTTGGCTGGAAAGATCTGCCTCTTTCTTCCTTCAACCCCTCCTCTTCCTCCTCCTCCTTCCCCTCCTGGGTACCCGGGGTCAGCACCGTGGACAGCTCCTTGCCTTCACCCGTAAACCACCGCCTGCGGTCGGGCTGTCAAACGCAAGTAGGACAGCGAGAAGTCGGGCGCACTCTGAACACATGAGAGTGTGCTATTTACGAGATTTTGCCTCTTTTCTTTTTTTAACATCCAAGCGACGAATGTGACAGAAGATTGTTTCTGAAGTCAGAGATACGAGGCTGGAACAATGATCTCACGATATAAACCGGTAAGTGCTACTACAGTATATCTGTAACCTGCTCAGTCGCTTGATCGATATTCAATTTAAAGCATCAAATATTCTGCATGTAGGCCTACGATTAAGGTCGAAA